TTAGGGCGATTTATTTCCTGCTCGGCCAAGAGGTGTATGTCATTTCACCAAACCCTAAAACAACTAAAGGGTTTTCAGTAGGATGACAAATGTAAGCTCGCCTTTAAAAGATTGAGGACTTTTTATTTTCTGCTCCTCTTTTAAGCAGACCCAAAAAAGTCGAGCCCCTATACTTGTATTTAGTTGCTATTGAAAATTCTGTGGCTTCAATGTTGATTAGACAAGAAGAGGGCGAACAGTAACCTGTTTATTATATTAGCAAAGTCTTTAGGAGTTTTGAGTTGCAATATCCAAATATTGAAAAACTAGCATTCGCCATCCGGACTTCGGCGAATCAGCTGCGCCACTACTTCCAATCTCACACTATAATCGTTCGAACTAACCATCCCCTCAAAAAGATCTTGCACCGAGCTGAAACTTCTGGTAGACTGGTGGAATGGAAGATTGAGAGAATTTGATATCAGGTACGCTCCTCGTACCGCAATGAAGGTGCACGTACTTGCAGACTTTGTGGCTAAAGTTTTATGGCGAAGATGAGAAAGGCAAACTTAATAGTTACACACAGATGGGGCCTTAGAGAGAGACACTCTGGTGGTTGAGAAATGGAAAGTGAGACAAATGAAGGGAGATAGAGGCCTTATATAGGCCAAGCAAGGCACTGAAGTGTCCCTCATTAAATGAGGTGACTCTTCAGATGCCCCCTTCTAAGACCAACGCCTCCTTGAAATAAAAGCCTTCATAAAGCAACACAATAAAGATCTAATATAAATAAATAATAATAATAATAGATAGTAAAAAGACATAAACACTACATTTGGACATAAAATGACCAAATAAATTAGGAGGACTACTGTTAACATATAATAATAAAATATATTAAAATAATAATATTAGACTCCTAATTAAACTCAAATTAACAAGTAATATAGGAGTCATAATTCTTATCCTAACACAATAATCCCAGATCCAGTATATATCCTCCAAATTTACCCAAGGACGGGTTAATTCACAATTGACTACACCTTAAATTCTAAGAGCTTAACAATTTTCAATCAGAATTCATCAATTTTCTATCATTTAAACAAATAAACAAAAAACTTAGATTCGACCTAATGATGCCAAAATTGAAACTGAACAACAAATAAACAAAAAAAAAAAAAAGCTTAGAATCGACGTAATGATGCCAAAATTAGAACCGAACAAAAAAAAAAAAAAGTATAATAAACCTCAAAATTTCCAAGTGACGGGTTAATATCACAATTGACTACACCTTAAATCCTAAAGACTTAACACATTGTTCAAATCAGAATTCCATCCAATTTTTTTGCTATCATTCTTAAACAAATAAACAAAAAACCTTTAAGAATATCGACACCTAATGATGCCAAATATTGAAACTGAACAACAAAATAAACAAAAAAAAAAAAAGCTAGAAAATCGACGTAATAAGAATGGCCAAAATTAGAACCCGAAAAAAAAAAAAAAAAAAAAGCGTGAGAATCAAGACCTAATGATCTAAATTGGAAATCGAACAATTCCCAATATCTTTAGGAGGATAAAAAAAAAAAAAAAGCGTAGAATCGACCTAATGATACTAAAATTGGAATCGAACAAATTCCAATATCTTTAGGAGGATAAGAACTGGTAGTTCCATCTCAGGTCCACGGGATTGGCTACACCTAAGGATGGAAGAGGGCGAATTTTTTGCAGGTATTCAAATTCAAAAAATCTATTTACAGTAGGTTTGCATCTTAATTCAATGTGATTAGAACAAATATGGATATTATAGTTATTATTTACGGTGGATTTGAATTGGATGTGATTTAAAGTTGTAGGTACCTGCTATCTTTAAGAGGATAAGAACCGGTAGTTCCATCTCAAATTGACGCCAAACCTAAGGATGGAAAGGAGCGAATTTTCGCAGGTATTTAAATTCAAAAAATTTATTTATAGTGGGCTTGCGTCTTAATTAAATGTGATTAGAATAAATATGGATATTTGGTAGATTTGAATTGGATGTGATTTAAAGTTATGGATACCTGCTACCTGACAAAACCTACTATATAAATTAAAAAGTATATATAATGAATTGTTTTTTCAGGTTGTCTTATTAATAAATTTTGAAAATTTAATTGAATATGAAAGATTAAATCAAGAGAACAATTGAAAGACTATCGTGTCATTTTTTTTTTATGAATTTTCACTTTATATAGCAATGATATTATAATATATTTTAAATTTATGAATGGATGTTATTAAAAAAAAATTAATTCATACGTAGATGTTGTTAAAATGACTTGAATTTTTTATATTTTCTTATTTTAATTTATTTATGACTATATGGTTTTCCGCGCTTTGCACAATTATTTAGTATGTGATTTTGTTATTTAAGGCTTAACATATATATGAGTAAATTGCTAAAAAAATTAAAGAGTGTACAAAACATAAATAATATGATTTAAATGTATAATCTAGAGGTAAAATTTTATTCTAATTATGAGTGAGTTATTCATATAATAGATTTGAAAGGAAAAATAATGCCACTATAGTTTTTATCTGTAGTTGATTGAAATAGTGAAATTTTATCACTGTATGCAACACGTAATACAAGGATAAATTAAATTAATGTTAAAATTTTATCTCAAGATTAATTTTGTATTATTTTAACTCAAATGTTCTTCAACTAACAAAATTGAACTGATTGAGAAGGAAAATAAAACTTTTACGTGGAAAATTTTATCATCATAATTAAATAAATAAAATAAAAGAGAGAGAAAAGAAAAAAAAAATACTACTCATAGTCTTATTTTCTTGATTCCAAATTATATCATCACCTTTGATTAGACAGAGAAATTGAAACTTCACCATCTTCTTTGGAAGAAATTTTTATGTGGTTTTCTTTACTCGTGAAAGCATATATCGGGTTTGTTATGCAATATTAGTTGTTAGTTGTTCTGTTAGCTTTTAACTGTTAACTATTAGCTTTTAGCTGGTAGTTGGTTATATAATAGTTTAAATTAAAAATATCCAGAAAAAAACTATTTAACTTAAAATGCTAAAAATAAAAACATTAATTATTTTATTAGCTGAATTCTCGTATATGCGTGTGTGTAAAAGCTAATGATGTTTGCTAATTTTATCTTATATTGAATGGACTTAGTGAAGTTGAATAAGGATATAAGTTGTAAAAGTTTTTTTAATTTTAAACGAGTTTAGATATTTAATATTTATAAAGTAAAATTGATGTGTACCCACTCCAATTTGATCTCAGTCATTAAGGGCGTGCATGGGTCGGATTGGGGTGAAAATTCATAATTTTCAGGCTCATCCTAAAGTATCGGGACATAAAAATGGAGTTTCAATCCCGTTCCATTAGATATGTAGTCCCGTCCTATTCCATCCCATTTTTTGGAACGGAAAGAGACAGAAATTCGGGTTTATGGAACATGACGGAATGGGTTGGATCGAAAGTCAATCGGGATTTTTTGTAGTCTTATTAAATTATCTTTCATCAAAAAAAAAAAAAAAAAAAAGGTTTATTAGGAATGCTCTAGTTCCATCAGCCATTTTTTGGAAACAGGGAAAGAGACAGAAAATTCGGGTTTAATGGAACATTCGGAAAACGGAATTGGGTTGGAATCGAAAGTACAATCGTGGATTTTTTTGTAGGTCTTAATTAAATTATCCTTTCCAAAAAGTCAAAAAAAAAAAAAAAAAAAAAAACTAATCTTCATAATTTAAATCAAATAAAATTCATTTAAATATAAGTATTGAAGAGTTTAAAAAAAAAATAAAAATTAAAAATGTAATTCAATCATTGATGATCTATTACTTAAAGTTATAAAGACCAAGATTTTTTAGTAGTGTATTTATGATAAGTTATAAAAAATGTTAAATATAATAAAAATAAAAAAAAAAAAAAAAAAAAACTATCTTCATCAATTACAATCAAATAAAATTCATTTATATAAGTTTGAGTTTAAAAAAATAATAAATTAAATAATTAATTCAATCATTGATGATCTATTACTAAAGTTATAATAGAAGATTTTTAAGTAGTTATTTTGTAGTTAATAAAAGTGTTAAATATAATAAAATAAAATAAAATAATGTAAAAATTATATACAATTTAACTTTATATGTATTTTACAAATTTTAACTCATTATTGTTTTTTGTCTTTAAGCTGATTTAAAATTCACACTACCTAATTTAATCTTGAATATCATTTGAAAAATAAATAATGATAGCATTAAGTATAATCAATAATACAACAATAGATTAATTGAACTTACTATTTTCTCTTATATGGATTAATCTTTACATTTTTTATTTAATAGAAATTTTTTTTAAAAAAATTACTGAACATATACTATAGAATAACAGAGGAAATCTATGTTGAAAATTATATTTGTTATTTGATTTATTTTATATTAAAAAAATGCACATTAGTTTTTCATATTATTATTACTTTAGTAGTAATTGGTATCATAAAAAAAACTAAAGTGAAAAAGATGAAATGATTTTTAGGGCCATAATTTGAAATTCATACAAAAAAGACGACTAAAATTTTAAAGAAAAAACAGGACAAGAATTTTCGGGACAAGATGGGATGTGACAGAACTTAAATTGGTAACAGAACTTAAATTGGTACAAATTAATTTTAAGTAAAAATCAATCTCGTTCCATAAATACTTTTGAGATGAGATTCGAGACGAGATTATAAAATTAATATTGAATTTTTATCGGGATGAAAAATCAGGGACAATTTTTTAGAACGGATCAACATTTCCGCAGCACCTAACATACACCACCAGCCATACAGGTTTTATCAATTTATTTATTATTTATGTAAATATTTATTTTTTCTAAAAAGGTAAAATCTATCTAGAGAGTAACGGAACAAATTGGACTGCGTTTGGAAGGTGAGGTGGTCCCACTCGGCGCAGACGGGGCTTCAAAAGACCCCACTCGAAGGGTTCTTATTATAGTTCAGTTTGCACACTCTCTTCTTTGTCTCTCTCTCCCTCGAGAAACGGAGCAGAGCAGAGCATTTCTCCGCTCTGTACCATACCAAGAAAGAAGAGATAGGGAGAGAGAGTTAAGTAAGCGAACCAGTGATACTTAGCAATTTGGGTAGGAAATAAATTCCATTTTGATTTTCATTTTTATTTCTCTCTCCTTTTTTTTGCTTCATTTTTTTATATATTCTGTTTCTTGATTGTAGGGATATGTTGTTTATTTTCTTCAGGAAAAGAATCTTCTAATTAAATATTTATTTATTTGATAGTAATTTTTTTATGCTTGTATTTCTATTTTTGGGATTTATGTTTTAATTTTGTTGTTTGCTGTCTGTTTCAGATTCTCTGAGAAAAACAGAGGAGAGAGAGAGAGAGAGAAACAGAGGATTTATGTCGTCTGGTTTTGATCGGTCGACTAGAGCTCTAAGGAAGCTCTGGGTCTCTGTTCACTCTCTCTGCACCATTTTATGCCTCGTTTTAATCTTTGGCAAGCAATCTTGTTCACTTCAAAATAGCAAGAAACAGACTTTCTTGATCATTTTTATACGATTAAGATCAAAACGGTACGTGGGTTTTGTTTTTCCCTTATTTGGTTTTCATCGGCAGCCAACATTTGTAAATATCAATTTTTATGTGAAACATTAAATATAGATTTGGGTTTTTATATGAAGTCCTAATTTTGACATATTTTTATGTTTTTGTGTAGGAATTGTTCTTGTATTGAAGATTGTGTGAGCAAAATTTACTATTTTCAATTTTGGGTTTTAGGGGTTTAAGGGTTTTGGGTTTTCCTTGAAACCCAAGCTTATCAAAGATTTACTTTCTTTTTTTTTTTTTTTTAAATTTCCCCAATTATTATTTATTTCCTTTTTGAGATTAGAGTGAGAAATCTCTCTATAAATTTCAATTTCATAAAATGCCAGGCCTTAGAAGGCCAATTTTGGATCAAAGTTTGAGTTTTGACAAAGAGAAGAAGAAAAAACCAAAGGAAATGATTGCCACAAGAAAAGTTCGCATAATTTGCCATGATCCTGATGCCACAGACTCTTCAAGCGATGAAGATGAAGCACACATTAATCCAATCGGTGCTAAGCGTTTTGTAAAAGAAATCAATCTCTCAATGTTGCCGAATGAATCAAGAAGTGAGAATTGTCCAGGAGAAACTAGTAATGGAGACAAATTTAAAACTAAGACTAGAATATCATCCTGTAGTTACAGAGGGGTTCGAAGAAGGCCATGGGGGAAATATTCCGCAGAGATTCGAGATCCATTTCGAAAGGTTCGAGTATGGCTTGGTACTTACACGACTGCAGAAGAGGCTGCAGCTGCTTATAGGAAAAAGAAAGAGGAGTTTGACAGCAAAACGGCAAAGAACAAACTAAAGAATTTGTCAATTCCTTCGAAAATCGATGCAGTTGAAGAATCGAGTGATTTCTTTTCTCATCCATCACCATCTTCTGTGCTTGATGTCTCCACTACAACTACTTCACTTGTTCATGGGCTTGAAAGTTCAAGCAATGTGGAGGATAAATTTCAAGAGTTACAGATTTCAGATTTATGGGAAGAGCCTGTGCTTTCCCCTTCTGCTAGTCAAGAACTGCTTGGTTCTGATTACTGCTCGCTGTTTGAGAACGATTTTGGTAACTTTTTTTATACACAAGATATTTCTGTGGCAGAAAGTGGAGAGATGGTAGATTTTGCTATAGATGAGGTAATGGATCTTCCTAATATTGAACTTGAGGCTCTTGCTTTTGTTGAGGAAACTTTAAATTTTACATGCCTATGATAATTTTTGCAGTTAGGAATTGAGGGATTATAGAATTTTGGTGAAGAGATATAATATTATTGGAGTTGTTCTTTTTGTCCTTGTTAGGAAGATAGAAAAGAGAGTTCTTGGGATTCTCTTAGTGGTTTTTGTGCATTATCCAAGATTTTTGCAACTCTCTATAGTGCTAAGCTTATGAGTAATTTATTTATAGTATATGTAAACTTTGTTAGCTTTGATTGCAACAATAGAGCTATACATTGTTGTTATTGGGGATATGAATATTCATATATATAGACAAGGATTTGAAGTCCTAGTTTGTTTCTTGATGTCATTGTTTTGTTTTATTTGATGGTTTGGATTTTGGAATTGGAAGGGGAAAGATCTTGGAAGGTGGCATATTTTCTTTTCTCCTTTTGTTGTCTGTTGCTTTTCCTTTTTTTTTTTTTTTTTTAAATTTTTTTTTAGTATTATGTAAACTATAGTTAGCGATTTTGAATTAGCAAACAATAGAGCTATCATTGTTTGTAATGGGGATAATGAATATCATACATAATAAGACAAAGGATTTGAAGTCCTAGTTTGTTTCTTGATGTCATTGAGATTGTTGTTTTTAATTTGAATGGTTTGGAATGTATGGATATTTGGAAACGAGAGGGAAAAGATTCTTGGAAGGTGGCATATTTCTTTTTCATCCTTTGTTGACTGTTCTTATAATTCCTTTAATTTTGTTATATTTTTTTTTTTTAAAATTTTTTTTTTCCTGTTGAAGGAATGATAATAATAGACTCTTTAAAGCTTTTAGGATTAAAAAAAAAAAAAAAGAAGTGGGACAGTGGAGTGGGGCTGTATATGGGTTCACGTGGGCATTTTTTTTTTTTTTTTTTTAAATTTTTTTTTCCTGTGAAGGAATGATATATAGACTTTAAAGCTTTTGATTAAAAAAAAAAAAAAGTGGGACAGTGGAGTGGGGCTGTATGGGTCACTGTGGGCATCTATTTGTGCAACAATGTTTTTATTAGATGAGTCATTGAAGCAAACTTTTCTATAATTGAAAATAATATAATGATTTGGCGGCTGATCTCACTTGTTTTGCAAGTAATAGGGCTTATATTTGCTTTTAATATGCCCAATGTCTATGCTACAACCAATCTCACATTATCCGTTCATTTTTTTTTTTTAAATTCACTAATTTGGTTTGTTTTCTGTCATATTGATATTCCAGTTAACAATGGGATTGCCTTTGGATTTTTGGGCCCGTAATATGTACGCAAAGACATTCTAGTCTGCTAGACTTTGGACCAAATATATTTTTTGAAAAATAAATTATTTGCATTGAAATAAAGAGGTTGAAAAGAAAAATATTTTATTATTTAATTTGTAAAAGAGGATGTTGTATAAAATTTCAATATTTAAACTTAGTTTATTATTTTGTTTTTAGAAAAAGGTTTCAAATTCTTAAACCTAACAAATAGATTTTTTTTTATTTTCAAGAAATGACTGAGCATTTAAATTATTGTGAAACTAACACATAGGTCCCTCTATTCAAAAAGTAGGGACTTTGTTTTAAAAAAGAAGCATAATTGAAGGACCTATAATTCAAACTTATGCTATTTGCACTTGTGCAATCATTTTTTAGAAATGTTGGATACTAGGAACCCAACATTACTTCATATATAATAGTTGAAAAGAAAATTATATTGAAAAAGTTAATTATAAGTGATTTTAAAATGAATTTCATATATATATATATAATTATATATATATAATTATAAAAAATTAAAAAAAAATAATTATAAAAAATTTAAAAAAAAAAAAGAAAAAAAATATATTTAAGAGACGAGGATTCCAGATTTTTGCAATTGTTTAAATGCTTGGAATTGCATACGACGTTTAATAACACGACAGATGCGGAAAAACCATAACGTTAAAGGTAACTATAAATATGTATAGAAGCGCCGAAGGCCCAACCACAAATTAAAAAAAAAAAGAAAAAAAATATATTTAAGAGACGAGGATTCAGATTTGCAATTGTTAATGCTTGGAATTGCATACGAGTTAATAACACGACAGATGCGGAAAACATATACGTTAAAGGTAATCTATAAATATGTATAGAAGCCGCCGAGCCCACCACCGCTCCCAAAAATCAACGTCTCAATTTTCTGTAATCAATCCTCCCTTCTCCATCCTGTACTGTAGATTATAACTGGTCCTCTGTTTTTGGACACAGTCTCCCATAGTCTTACGGTAAACATAAATTTGACAAAAAGCTGGGTCTCGACAGCAACAAAGAACAGTCAAGAGCAAGTCTTTTTTCCTGTCAGCTAATAAATTTTGACAAAATGTATGGCAAACATTTAACAACTATTAACTTTTCAAAAATAGTTTCTGCAACACCAAATTTGACTTTTGAGGGTATCCTCCAACCACAATTCTCTTTTGCCCCACTTTTCTTCAACCAAAAGGCAGTCTGATTTTTGAATCTTTTTTTATTCATTATCGTCCTACTTTTCTTCAGTGTAACATGATCTCTATTGTTTTTGTAGCTGACTTTTCCATGTGATAATAATGTATAACAGATATTTGCCTAATGCATAATCTGCCCTTGAACTATCGCTGATTCTCCAAGTGGCTCCCTGAATTTTGCGGAATTTCTATCGTGACATTCTACTAACAAATTCGCTTTATTCAGTTGGATTCAATCAGCGGTTCAGAACATGGGGGCTCATTTTATCAGCCACATAAGTGTCTAATGTGGCATAAGCAATGACTAACTTTTGAAGAGGCATTAAAAGCTTTGTTCTACCCAATTTCTCTCTCCTAAATCGATCTGAGAGACAATATTAATCTCCCTTCCACTCTCAACTTCATTGTGTTTCTCCAACTAGAATAAAGCGAAATCTGTAAGGAATTAAGAAGCTTGTTACAAACAGAAAAGCTAGGATTTGGTCTTAATATTTTTAAAATTTTCATGATTTTTTTCTGTGTTATTCTTTTTTAATCACGAAGCTGGTATAGATCTTGTTCTTGGATCAGAATCATATTGATTGTTTCTCTTTATTGGTTTATTGTGGGTTATGTTATTCCATTGAATCTAATAAGATTTTTTTTTTATTATTATTTCTTTTATTTTAAGAGGTTTTTTGATGATAATAATGAGTTTTTCTTTGATTTCTTTTGAATCTGCAAAATCAACCAATCTTGTTATGATAAAAGATAATTTATTCAATTTCATTTTCCTGTTTTCTTTTCTTAAGTTTTATGCTTCTTTTCTTGCCTTTAGTAATTTTATCATTTTTTTTCTAAAAATAAAGAACTTTTTAAGAACGTTGGGATCAATTATTTTGCTAAGAATTTCCTGCAAAAGAATTCTTTGATCCATGTTATTTTTACTCTTCCGGAAAAGTAAAGCAAAGGACCATTGTGTAGCAGATAGAAGGAATAGAAGAGTTCTTCAAGAAGCCAAAATAAAAGGAAAAAAAAAAAAAGGTATATTATACAGTCAGCAATTTTTAATCTAGGTGGATTAGAATTAAATACATATATTATTATTAAATCTGCATCAACACGTGCATAATATACATCTTTTTTTCCATTATTCTGAGGGGCATTATAAGGTCACGATAGAAATCTTACAAAGTTCAGGGGGCCATTAGGAGAATTAATAATAATTTAAGAGCAAATTTATGCATTATGACAACAGAGATTATATGACTAGTGATATTTAATTAAAGAGATTAGGTGTAATGGCTGACCACACTACAGCCTCAACCCAGAGCTAAGTGTACCTTTCTGCTTTCATGCTAGCTCGCAGAAATGACCTTGCTGACAACTGAAAGATTTTTCTTTTCTTATAGGTAGATGCAGAAGAAAGAGATTTACAGTGCAGAGACATTTAGATTTTGATTTAAGTATAATGAGCCTTTGCATTATTGCAAAGAGAGAATGAATTATTGTAGTCAGCTCATTACCAAGAATATAATATAATAATAATTGTAAATGTCTCAATTATTTTGGATGTTCATATATCCAGTAAAATAATGAAAAAATTTTACTTGTAGCTACTCTTTGGGATTTACGAGAAAACCTTTTTTCCTTTCCAAATTGACGCTTGATCTTCAATCACGTAGCTGTTGCAGTCAAATATTTGGCGCTCCAGTAATACTGGCTGTTTGGAAATGAATATTGCTCAAAGGAAGCAAAGTTTTTCATAATGTCTGAGGCACTGTGAAGGCTTTGAATTTCATTCAAGACTCAAGTCCTACTGTCATCATCTACAAAAGCTAATTCACATACAAGGGCAAGATGATCGCTTCCTAATTTCTGCAAGATGAAAAAGAAATTGCTCAAGGAATGTAAAGCATCTAGAATATAGTAAAAGATAGTTTGTAGCATAATATCTATATTGTAAATATGAGTAACTTAAATTGGACAGAAGATATTTCAAGATGAAGGAAGAAGTTGACTTTAATAAATTTGAATGACCCCTGTATGTATTTTAAAGATAAATAAGAAGAAGAAGAGGTTTAATGATGGCCAAATTCAAAGATGTAGCATCAACAACAGGTTGCAGAGGTTTTTTTCATGCGTACATAATTTGAAAAATCATATCCAGTTGTTTAAATTATCAGCTTGTTTACCCTTATTATTAGTAGTGGCGGCAGTTGCAGCATAATGCAATGGCTAAATTGATGTTCATCACCCTCACGGGAAAACAGTAATGCATATCATAGGAGCATGAACCAATAAAGAGCAAAAATAATACTTCAATGAGACAGATAAAACATCCATTTACAAAAATGAAAAGGCACCTCATTAGGAAGACCTGCACTTCTTCGCAAAATATCCATAGGTAAGGTTTCGAGAACTCTTACAGGAAGAAGTTCCTCTGTGTGCCTGTGACAATTAAAGAAATCAGTATCCTAAGTTATATATGCAAACAATATGTATTCTGCTCATTTCTAATCTAAATCAATTACCAAATATAATCAACAGTTCCCATAAACTGTGAGTGGTATGAGGTTGCCAATGGTTCTCCACAACTATCTCTCGATCTGTGGGTCCCCTGAAGAATTTAACAACATTATTTTTTGATAAAAGATGAGAAAACCGTATAACTAATTTTAAATGATTAAAAATATTCTTAAATTGATGCAAATAAATATGAGAAAAGGATAGACCTATATTTGATCTATTCAGTATCACAAATATTGCTTTAAGATATTATTATACTCGGTGACTCACATGTTAGACATTGCATCCATACTTATTGAGTAAGTTAACTACACATTCCTAAAGAAGTTGCAAACCTAATCGTACTTACCCTAAAGGTTTAGATAAATAAAAATAGACTTACAGGAACCCCAATATATGCACTAAAAAGCTTTAATTGGTGACGGAGGTGAGTTACTCCTCTGCTACCAGTAGCAAGCCTCAACTCATCATCACTCCATACACGCATTGATCGCCTTGAGATGCACATGTTATTGCTGCATCCATACAAACCAATAATTAAATAGAGCTATACAGCGACCCTAAATTTGACACCATATATGTTATCATTTAATAGGTTATAAGAACTCCATGGTTTATCATTTCATCACCTGTCTGTGGCCTTAAAATAGCCTCATTCTTAATCTTTCAACAGAGGATTCATGATTGATGTACCTTTTTTTTTTCCTAATATAGTTGGGGGAAGGTACTCGATATGAAGCTGAACCTAACATTTACTCTATCTCATCTTTATCTCCAGGCTAAGGCATCAATTGCATGACCATTAAACTTTACTAATCAACATATAATAATGATTGCAACTGAATCATTATACATTGATGTTATTCCAATATATATGATTAAAGTACTTCGTAAGAATATATAAGAATCCGTAACCTCTTAACATTATCATTTGGAGATCTGAAGTATTTGTTCTGAGGTGGGTGTTCGAGCTGCCCAGAAATGTTTCTGCGGTCATGGACTAGGACGTCCAACTACCAAAAGTTCAACAAATAGCAGTAATGGAAAAAAGGATTGATATCAGGACCATGCAAAGCTAAAAAGAATGCTAAAAGAAAATTCATAAGCTTGATGTTACCAACCAAAATTACCTCAGACTGAGACAGAAATTGATAAATAGCACTCTAACCACAAGACAAAAGAAAAATAAAGTTACAAGGTTGATTTGAGATTAATATCACAATAACATCCACCTATTTACAACTGTCAAATTAATTACTTCAGCATAAGAACTTACCTGTGGAAGGCTATTTAGATCTCCACCAAGTATAACAGGAATGCCGCCCCATTCTTGTGATAACTTGTGAGCTCTCTCAAGAAATAGACGAACCTACATCAGAGGGGAATACATATGATAATAGATATATTGCTTGACAGAACAAAACAAGATTGTAAGATCAATATTTTGCATACTGAACCCTCCAAGCCTGCTGCCCAAACCCAGCCTCTTCCCTAATTGAGAGGCAGGCACTCACATGCATGGAGTGACATAAACAGATTAGTTGTCACTTCAGATTCTACTTCTCCAAAAGAGAACTTGCCTACTTCAGAAAGATAATAGCAGTGTACATGAGAGGAGTTAATACCTGGCCCAGCTTGATGTCTCCACGTTTTGGGTTGAAAAGAACATGCACATTTCCCACAACTAATCTTCGAGCAGGGGTAGACTTTGCCCTGTATATATGTTTCGATGTTCTCATCAGCCAAATTGCTTACATGAATACAGAAATAGAAACAACAAGATAATCAAGCCTTAGTGTGCTGTTTGTTTTACACAAAGAAGATCAGATTTAGTCCCTTTACTCTTTTTTTTTTTTTTTTTCCCTTTTGTTTTACACAAAGAAGATTCAGATTTGTAGTCCCTTTACTCTTTTTTTTTTTTTTTTTCCCTCTCTCTCCCTATGAAGTTCATTGTTTATACTTATTATTGATTTTGGGTCTATTTCAGATGCTGAGGTCCACAAACTCCCAATGACAAAACAGAAAAAATATTGTAATGCAAACAAATTTGAACTTACTTCAAGTGATTGCATACACAAGTCAGATTCTGAATTGATTTTCATTCAATCTGCAAAAATTAAATGGGGGAAAATTAGTAAAGGTTTAATTTTTTTTTTTTTTTTTCCCTCTCTCTCCCTTGAAGTCATTGTTTATACTTATTATTGTTTTGGGTCTATTTCAGATGCTGAGTCCACAACTCCCAAGACAACAGAAAAATATGTAATGCAACAAATTTGAACTTACTTCAGTGATTGCATACACAAGTCAGATTCTGATTGATTTTCATTCATCTGCAAAAATTAATGGGGGAAATTAGTAAAGGTTTAAAATTGCATTGCAAATTATAAACTATTACAAATGACTTTTCCCACAGAAATAATTATAGATGTAAAATTTCAGGCAAAACCTAAACATATACGCAAGTTATGTAACTGTTGTTGCATGACCTTATAACCTTCACAAAAAGTACAACAAGCTGAGTTATTGTAGATAAGTTTATAATTTTGCACATAAAGTACTGGATTAAGAAATACTTGTCTCACTATGACTGGACGTTATGCAGGATAATTCTTTTCGAAACTAAAAGGGAATTTTGCCCAATAAGAAGCTTACTACAGTGGCAGTTTCAATGATATTAACTTAGATTGTTTCTAGCAAGTGAATCTCTCTTATCTTCTTGGTTCTTTGAACCGGGAATGAAAATGATCCTTTGAGATATTGAAGTATCTTAGAAGTGTTCTAATCCTGAAGAACTTAAGATGGATGAGCATGAATAAACCCTGAATGGGTTCCCATATGTCACCTTTTCAAATCCTATGAACTTTGCAAGTTGTGTGCTCGAGTTATGGTTTTTAAATCAGATTCACTAACAAATCGGGCAACAGAAAACAGAAGTACTTAATTAAAGAATTGATACCTTACTCGAATAGTTTTTTAACTATTTAAGTACATAAGCCTTCAAAATAAGGAAATATAAAATACAGTTGTATGGCAAACAATCAACATTCTGCATACCTTTAAAACACAAAGTTGAGCAACATTGTCACGGAGGCCAAAATTCTGGAACTCTATATTTTCTTCATGCAAAAGGGTAAATCTGTATTAAGAAAATGACTTGCTAAAATTGAATATGAAGAGTGGAAGTGAAAATAGAACAAAGAAATCAGCAATTCAGCATTACATTTTTTACAACAAATAACATGATGGAAAAACCCTAATTCTGCAAATGGAAATATGCATTCTATGGCAAGGAAAAAAAAAATGCACAGTCAAAACAATTTACTGGATCCATCACATTTCTTTGGATAACTGAACCTAACAAAGGAAGTATACTTAGGAAGTGCACATTAAACCTACTAAACTGCAGGCAAGGGCAACAAAATTATTATAAAGCAATTTTGTAACAGGCAATAAGACGATAAACTTTTACAACTAGAAATATCATGATAATACAATAAACATTCTGAACTTCTGAGCACAGAAACCTTACAGTGTATCTCTCCAAAATATAGCGCAACCATCATATGCTTCACCTGTGCGGGCCTGGAAAGAACAGTAATCATTAAAACAAGGATAATCAAAATAAATTCATATAGAATTGCTGGACTAGAAATTTCACAATACCTTGTAAAGACCTCTAAAGCCATCATTTTGAAGAAGGCAATCTAAATCATTGAAACGATCAACCTCCTAAAGCCAGAAGAATGGATATGAGAATTTAACTATGTCGGTAAGCATTTCCTATGCCTGCTTGAATATTAATAGATCCACGATAATAAAGCAAACTTTCAACGGTAAAGTCCACTTTTGACAATCAATGCAACAATATGGAGAAACATAAATACAATGCAGGATAATTTGAATTTTTAGACGTACAAAATGGAAGTAGGAATTGAAAAACTTATGAACCTCAGTGAAATGACAAACTGTGCAGAGGATTAAATCATATTTCAATTTTCAAAGGAATGAGAGTAATCTAGAAAGCAAAGCATGTCTGCATTCCAAACTTTAAATAAGGTGGAATTTACATCAAAGAATTTTTAAAGCATTACCACTCTTTCCAGTTTGTAAAGCATAATTTTCAAAAGTTTTTGTTTATATACAAAGCAAAAACTTCCAGCTATATTTTTACACACTATATGCATAAAAATTCATGACCTTCACGCAGCCTTATATGAACTGGCAGAAATTAAAATAAAATAAACAGGTGCAGAAGTATCTATGTGGTTTACAATATGGGCAATAATGCACATACCCACTGCCCAGGGCTCCTTGATGCAACAAAAATTGGAAACTCACATCTTTTTGTAAATGTAAAATTAAAAAAATCCTAAGAAGTCCTTGGATTGATGAAATTTGAACATCCTATGGATTTGTCAGATTCCTTTGTTTGATTGAGAAAAAATAAATCATAGTCTATGAAATTGATTGATTCCACCATTTTAGAAGAGAGAGAAATCCCACAGCAGAGGTGGAATTTCATTAATTCCATCTTTTTATATTAAGGATGGAATTTAAACCATTCAATTTTATTCCAAAAACAGCATTTAAATCCAGTCATTTTGTTTTTCAAACCAAACGGTGGAATATAAGATTCTATGGATTTCACAGACCATTACATTCTATAGATTTTGTGAAAACCATGGATTTCACATTCCATCAATCCAAATAACCTCTAAAAGGATAATAGCAGGACAATAATGCTCATAAGCACCAAGAAACCTTCAACTCCACATAGAAACTCAGAATGTCCATCACTAAAATGAGATAATAAGGAATGCAAATTAAAGCCAACTAAACCTGCCTGGAAACATAGGATGTCTGCATTATAACGATTGATCTCCTTACAAATGAGCTCCTTTCGTCTATCCCACTCCAAGCACTCAGGTGGGATTTTGAAATATAAATCTGGATGCTTTGATGCATTTTCAACACCTAGTATATTGTATGACACAAAAACAATCCTATCTGAAAAAACGAGAGAGACATAAATTTAGGTAGATCAAAACTGATAAATATCATTAACATACTACACAAAATTCTGTAAGCAGTATTGTTAACTAGATTCCAATTTAGACAATAGGCCCAAGCAAAGTAAAAAAATAAAAATAATAATAAAATAAAACCTAAAACATGCTCATAATTCGTATCAAAATCAATCAATTAGCTGCCAGTAAAGCGCCCAGTTTCCAGCAAATGCCTCTTATGTTTCCAATTCACACCAGACGCAAATTTGTTTATGTAAAAAGAAATGTATAAGTGAGTGTCTGTACCACTATAAGCAGAGAAATCGTCGCCAGAAAACACCCATTTGCGATTACTCTCAGCAATACTTGAACTTCTGCTCCAATCATGCTTGTGTTTACGACTGCGAGAAGATGATGAGTAAATTGGTTCAAACCTATTCAAAGCTGGCAAATTTGAACGGGAACTGTGAGGTTTAAGAGTTAGGGTTTTGGTCCTGTAGACTAATTTTTGCCTCTTCGAACCAGTTTCGAGATCGTTTTGCTGTTTGTCATCGAAATATTTGCGCTTCGTTTGTGCAGAGGCGCGGGAATGTTTCTTCTGAGGGGCTAGCCGTTTGCTTTCTCTCATGTTTCCACAAATTTCAGTTGGAGATGGCGCGGGCCGGGGAGGTGCGGTCGTCGGACTGCCATTAGAGGGTTTATAAACAGAAAGAATTTCACGTGCAATATTATTCATGAAAATAGCTCATTTTGCTCCCCGAATTTGGCTCACGTAATCAATTTGCCCAGATTTCAACTTTATGGACAATTTACTCCATTAGTTTATCAAAAATAGTCAAATTTACCCTTAATTTGATCTGAATCACCTACGCACTTCACTCATGGTCAACACAAGAAAAAAAGAAATTATAAATTATCTTTTTATTAATATCAATGGTTAAAATAACTTAAACTCCTTCAACCGCCAAATACATAAATGAATACCCGTTTTGATTGTAAATCACTAATTGAAAAGTAATACATGTAGGAGATGGTTCGTTATTGTAAATGATGTTTGAAGGCTCCATTTTAGGTGCTAGAAATTGTGAATGTTGCTTGAAGGCTCTACATTAGGTGTAGGGATTGAAGCGGAGAGAACATCCTCAAATTTTGAACTACTCAAATTTGTAATAGTTTATATCCTTTTGGTTTATATTATTTATATTCGTCTCAAATCCATTTAAATATCCATTCAATTACTCACATTTGGACCTATTTAAAATTTTTATCACCAATATTTGTCTCAAACACATATAAAGTACCTATTAAATAGATATGGTATCCGCAAATTTTAAATTATTCAAACCTGAACTATTTTTAAATTCATCTTTTACTAATACATGTTATTACACTCATGGTTATCCATGACCCAACTCATTTAATATAATGGGTAATGGATGGATACATAGAGACCTATACATATAGGTACATACAGACTTATACAAATACCCTACCTGTATCCGTCGGATAAATTTTAATACTCGTATCCATACTAAACTCATTTATAACTAGTCGTATCATCATTAAATGGATCGGAGCGGGACAGATTTTTTAAAATACCCGTCTTACTTTTCATCTCTAGTTGGGTATCTTGGAGTAAGATAAACCAATGCAAAAGATTCTACCGTTGTAGATTCATGAAGGTAAATCAATTTTTGACATTTATTTTGGATAGAATTGTAATTGTAAACCTATCTATAGAGGCTTTGTTCTAACCTATTGTGCTGGAATGCTGAAATTAGCTTCTTTAATGTGTGCCTCACCTATTGCGAAGAGATAAACTCTTCACCACACTGACTTCACAAAGTTATGGGTGATTTGATATTTTAGGCAAACTAATGGAGCAAATTGGCTATAAAAATAAAAATTGAGGGAAATTGGATAAATGATCCATATTCAGGTTGTATAATAAACTATTTTTCTATTATTTAAAAATACTAGTACTTAAGAGTATTATGTTTTGATTCATAATGTCAAAGAAAAAAAAATTATGTTTTGATTCATACGTGGGCAATACAATAGATGTATTCTTGACTCCTAAATTGATGAAAACTTTTGCGATATAAAAGACTCTGAACTTAAAACTCTCATTTTGATCAACTAGATCATATTTGATTGAGCTAACGTAGCTTATTTTTGTCTTTTAACTAATGAATAATGCATTTGGTTTATATTTTAATATGATTAAAATAAAAATAAAAATAAATATGGACAAAAAAGCAGAAAATAACTACATGTGAAGAACCTATGAAATTGTTCTAGTTGCTATATAAAAATCAATCTCGTAAACAAACAAATAAAAAAAAATTAACTAGTACACCATCTAGTAACGGTGGGCAAACGACTAGTTCAGTTCAAACTAAATCCGAAATCAAGGTAAAACCTCAAAACTAAATTTTTCAGGAGCAAAATTGAACCGAACTGAATTATTCAATTTAGCTGGTTTTCTCGTAATTGCTTTTTGATTTTGTTTTAACCCTAATTGGCTCATTTTTGTATAACTGAATCAAAGTAAACAATAATTTTGATTTCAACCGAATAAAATGACTAAATGAATTTCTCTTGAACAGATTGACTGAACCAATTGAAATAACTCAGTTCAATTTTCTCTTCGATTCAGCCGGATGATTTGCACATCTCTGCCATCTAGCATATGCTATTCAGAAGTATCATGAAATAATCGAGGAAGAAGACCATTAGAAAAATGATCAAGAATACAAAGCCCTAAATCTGTAGTAGACGGATAACACTCTACTTGAATTTGAGAAAACTTATTGAATGGGCAAGTTTAATTCCTTCAAGTAGAGTCCATAGTTCAGCTCCTAACACAGAAGTGACACCAATCGAAATAGACCACTCACGTAGATTATCCCGAAGTAAAACCCCCACCATTACTATATCTCTATATGTCTTAAGTTTGAATTGACAGCTCCTCTTCATCTATATTTTCAGGTCGTCTGCACGACCCCTACATATCTCTTAATTATTTATTATTTTTATTCATACTTTTGTAGGGAACAATTATGTTATGATGGTAGCAAGATTTCTTTTTATAGCTGTGTGGTTGTTGAGAAATAGAAACATGAGAAAGTGTTATTTGGCCATTAGCAAAGAAGAGAAAAAGACCGAATTATATACTTCTTTTTTAGAAAATAAATTTTTAACAGATAAAATTTACCTTAATTTAGTCATAACTACAGCCAAAATAGGAAGAAAGTAATTTCTTCACTATTAATTACATGGCAAAAATATTAAATTTCATTGAATTTATAAATTTTAGTTTGGACTGAAATTTAATAAATAAAAAATTAACTAATTAGATTTAAGTCAAATTTCAAACTTTTATTCTCAGTGACTTAATCAAATGAAATTTAAGTTGTAATATTGTATTATTGATTGTCTTTTCAATGAGTGTTTTCCACGAACCGACAAAGATTATTTGCTGAATTTTCAATTTAGTAATATACTTTAATGATATTTATTAAGGATATATTCGGCAATACCAACTATTTTAATAGTTGTTAGTTATAATAGTAGTTTTTAGTTGGTTCTATTAGAGGTTAACTGTTAGCTCATAATTGTTTATATAATAATTTAAATTAGAAATGTTCGGTAAAAATAATTATTTAATTTAAAATGATAAAAAAATAATATGAGTTATTTAATTAGCTGAATTCGGAGAAAAAAACAATTGATATATGATTGTTATAAAAATTTAATTAAAAGTCAAACATTATTAAAGTATTTAACATTTTATAAAAAGGTTCTTTTAATCTCAAAAATTTATTACAAAAAGTATATTATCAGTGTAATTAACAGAGATAGAATTTATCAAAACGCTGAAAGTTAACTCAAAAGCCACCGTGCAAGATAGACATACTCTAATTTACCGATTGCAACCTAGCTGAACTTTTTAAGCCAACACAAAAGTTGGATAGCCATTATAGCCACCACACCGCCAATACCTTCCATTCAAACTCATCACCGGTCCAATCCCATTCTCCTATCAATCATATATTGAACAAACACACACCTAACAGCTACACAACAACAACTACAAATCAGAAGATAAGCCAACAAAAACCTTTTATGTGATCAAATCAAGTACAGAAACCCCGACAAAAATAATGAAATACCGAATACAATTTCCACTAATTTCTTTACTTTTTATTATAATTCTCACGAATTTCCTTCATAAAACACATACAAAATCTGTAATAGAACCGTGTAGCTCTTCAGATTCTTGCCTTTCTCTTCTCTCTTACATTCTACCATTTGATACACAAATTCCTGAAATTGCCTTTCGTTTCAAAGTCAACATTTCTGATATATTAGCAGCAAACTCTATTAACCCAACAGCACCATCAATAACTAACCTAATTTTCCATTCAAAATCATTTTTTAAAATACCCATTTCTTGTCCTTGTGTGGATGGAATCCGACGATCCTTATCAACTGCCTACATTGTCCGAGCAGCCGACACCATCGATTCTATAGCAGAAGGATTTGGTGGTTTAGTTAGTGCAGAGCAAATTATAAGTACTAATGAAATAAATGAGAAAAACCCATTAGTGAATGGGCAGCCATTAGTGATACCATTGCCTTGTACTTGCTTCAATAATAGTAATAATGGTGTTGAGGCAGTTTATATGTCATATGTTGTGCAAAAAGGGGAGAGTTTGGAAAGATTGGCAATGGAGTTTGGATCTACTGTTAGAGACTTGGAGACTGTTAATGGACTTGTCCAAGATTTGATCGATCCTGGTGATATTCTTGCAATTCCAATTCCAGGTTAGTTCTTTTAGGTTGTGCATGCTTCTTAATTTTTTATTCTCGGAAAAATTTATAAACATTATTCGTGTCTACAAATATTAATCGTTTTGAAAATATAACGAGTAATTAATATATATAAGCCATTAGTGATTACCATTGCCTGTGTACTTGCTTCAATATATAGTAATAATGGTTGATTTGAGGCAGTTTATATGCATATGTTTGTGCAAAAAGGGGAGAGTTTGGAAAGATTGGCAGAATGGAGTTTGGATCGTACTGTTAGAGACCTTGGAGACTGTTATGGACTTGTCCAAGATTGATCGCATCCTCGGTGATATTCCTTGCAATTCCAATCCAGCGTTAGTTCTTTTGGTTGTGCATTGCTTCTTAATTTTTTATCTCGGAAAAATTTATAAACATTACATTCGTGTTCTTACAAATACTTAATCGTTTTGAAAAATATACGAGTAATTAAATATATATATATTATATTATATATATATATATACTATATACTATAATATATAAACATCCTATTATTTTCAATTTTTCTGTTTCTGAAAAATATAAATTTTTACAATTCTCTTAAAAACCATCTTATTCAAGTCAATTAATGATGTGCGATAAAAGGATAATCTATTTTTACAATTTTCTGTTTCTGAAAAAATATATTTTTACAATTCTCTAAAACCATCTATAGTCACATTAATGATGTGGGATAAAAGGTAATTTAGTCAACTAATAAAAATTTTATTATAATATAAAAAAATTAATTATTTTCTTTAACACCACTTTAAAAACTGAATTACATTTTTATGGACGATGGAGTATATTTGATGGGATAATATTTTAATTTGGCTTAGAAATTTAATTATTTCAAGTAATTACTAACTAGATACTTATTTTTTAAAATTATAGTGAAATGATCGAGTAAATGTATTCTAGTTGATATAGTAGTTTAGCATTCATTATTTTATTAAATTCTTTTGATATATATACTAAAAATGGACAAATCATCTATGACTTTTGAATGCTAAAATTTTATTTGGGTATAAGTTAATATGTTATATAACTTTTAATATGATATTATGTATTTATAATATTTAGAACCTTAAGAATATTTTTTTTTATCGGTAAAAGTAATTTTTAATTAAATTATATTGTCCAAAGAAAACTTATTTTATCCAAATATTATATCCCAAGTCATTAGGCCATTCATTTATATAACCTAACCTGATAGCTTAAGTTAAAAAAAAAAAAAAAAAAAAAAAAAAAAAAAAAAAAAAGTCGCGAAATAGGATTAACTTATCCCAGAGTCCATGTAGCCAGTTCATTTGATATAACCTTAAACCTGATGCTTTAAGGGTTAAAAAAAAAAAGAAAAAAAGAAAAAAAAAAGAATCAAAAAAAAAACCTGATCAAGAAATGATTTATATTAGAAGTATTAAGACTGGAACATGAAATAACACATTATGCTATAAAGTGAAAATTCTATTGGAAGTACAGCCCTCCATCTCTTGAGTCTTTTTCCTTTAAATTTAAAATTCAGAATATAGACAAATTTTTGATATCAAATTCATAATTAAATTAATGAGGGTATTGAATTGAGATGAGAGTTGAGCAAAAGTAATTTATAAACCCTGACACACATTTGCTTTTATTCAGCCTCATTAGAAGTCTATAATTGCGCTAATTAAAATATCAGAAATAATAAGATTTACTTCACTGAACTAAAAATAATCTATCATCAGATTGATTAAATTGGAATCTGCAAGGTGATTAAGTATTTATTCCTGATTTAAAAAAAAAAAAAAAAAAAAAAAAAAAAAAAAAAAAAACCTGATCAAAATATTATATAAGAATTAAACTGAACATAAATAACACATATGCTATAAAATCTATTGAACATCAACCTCCATCTTGAAGGTCTTTTTCCTTTATTTAAAATTCAAAATATAACAAATTTTGAATCAAATTCAATAATTAATAATGAGGGTTTGAATTGAGATGAGATTGAGAAAATAATTTTATAACCCTAAAATTGCTTTTAGTTCAGCCTCATTAGAGTCTATAATGCCGCTAATTAAAATATAGAATATAAGATTTACTTCATGAACTAAAAATAATTATCATAATGATTAAATTAATCTGCAAGGATTAGTATTATCCTGATTTTTATATATTAATTATTATTTCTGTTAATTTTCCCAATATGCAACAGGTGACAAAGCTGTCAAACCAATAATTCTTTCTTTCCTTATCAGAGAGACATGCATGGTCCCTTACTATTATTATTACTATCATTGTTTTTTTGTGTCTGTTTTAAAATAAAGGTAAGTGAAAATGGGGCAGCAATATTTATCCTAAGAAAGATGAAGATTACCAGAGACATAAGAAAAAAATCTACATTTATTTAGTAATATTCTTTTTTATAAATTCTTTTTCTCCAACCTTTTCTCAATGCACAAAATGTCCATTCTTGTACAAGAAATAGCATCCCTTGCTGCCATACATTTGTTGCATGATGTGCCATTTTCACACACTTACAAATCTCCACATCCCACTGGTCTTTTTGTAAGGTATAATGAATCAATGAATGTCTTTTTGAGAATGAAAAAGGGGATTTTGTTTGTTTGATACTTAAGGGAACAAAAAAAATAATTCTGGACCGTATTTTTTGTTATTTTCTTTTTTAAAATAGATATTAATTCTCCATGTTTAATTATTAATTTCAGCATGTTCATCTGCAAATCTGGAATGGAGAAATGAGAGTTTAATAGTTCCAAATGGTTCTTATGCTCTAACAGCCAACAATTGCGTCAAATGCATTTGCTTGCCAAACAATCTCAGGTATTTAATTAATTGGTTAATCTTTAATAATTAATCAAGACTTAATTAAGTAGCTTATGATGGTGTTTATATATTTTTTAGCTTGCAGTGTTTAGCTTCTGGCGTTGGAACAAAATGTTCTCATTTACAGTGCAGAGGTTCTAATCTTTTCATAGGCCAAACATATATTAAGCATACTGATACTTCTTGCAATGTCAGTGCTTGCGTTTATCGTGGCCATTGTGGTGGCAAAATTTACAAAAGGTAATTAATTAATTAGGCCAATAATATTTATTTATTTTCATAATATATTTTGGCTGTGATATTTTCTTGACCTGTGAAAAATATCTTATTTTATGCTCATTCTAAATCCATTTAAAATTGATTCAGAATTAGTCAATTTCAATTTTTGGCATGAGTTCAGCTGTTTTTAAACTTTTTTCTTTTTCCTATTTTTTTTCCCTAGATTGAAATAGCAAGAACTGATTGGTTTTGGTTTTTTGTTCAAACCCATTCTGATTCGGTTCTGATTTCAAAATATACCTATGGCCATCCCTGGTAAATATCCATAACTAAGATATATTAAGTATAAAAATAGTTTATTTGTTTATCTTTATATTAATCATGTCGAACAAAATTAATTATTTTAATAGTTGTTTATTGATCTAATAGTTGTTAGATGTTTTGTTTCATCAAACTCTAATACTTTTTTCGACATTAACTTTTAACAGAACTTTACCGTTTTGACCAAGTCAAAAACACTATTTCTATTATTTATAGTGTTAGGTATTTTAGCTTTTATTCTAGCGTTTAGAGTTTAAGGAAACGGATTATGAAACATTACTTTAATATTTGATGAAATGCTAGTAAAACAGTTAACAGTTACTAGAACAATTAACAGCTAATTTTTTTGAATAATAAAACACTATTTCTATTATTTATATTGTTTGACAACATAACATTTACTCCAACATTTAGAAGTTGAAGGATGGATAAGACGTAGCTCCCTTTAACATTTGATGAAAACACTAATAAAAAAAGTTAATAGCTACTATTATAGCTAACATCTATTTGAACAATTAAAGTTGACGAACAGAGCGTAAGTAATAGATAAATGCTACCTCACCAAACACTATAAATAATAAAGATAGTATTTTAATTTATGCAAATACTAAAGGCTATGTTAAAAACTGTTGGCCAGCAGAGCTATTGCCAGAGAAAAATATGTAATTTACATTTTTTTTTAATGCAAATAATTAATTTTTACTTCTTTTAATTGCAGTTTAGTAACTTCCTCTAATGTCCTATGCCCAGGTATAATGTCCTTCCCCAGAATATATGTATTGTTTCACTTCTCTTGTCTGAAAGTGAGTAGTAACTAAAACTTGCATATACATGTATTTTGTACAGGAAAAGCAATGTCGCCATTGGCATCTCCCTCATTTAATGATCCTTTGGCGCCATCTATAGCATTACCTCCATTAATATCACCATCTTCAGCTCCTTATCCAACTCCTTGGAATGATAACAATTTTAATATTTCTGGTGATGGATATTTGCTCATTAGTCAGGTTTCATTGCATTATTTATTGCCATTTCATATTTTGATCTATTGCTTTTTCTTTTTATAAATGACAATTTTTTATTTATTTATTTTCGTTGAAATGATTTATGGTAATTGGTAATTGTTGCTGCAATTGAATATATATTTTTTTATTTACCCAAAATAGTTTGGTTAATAGGTGAAGCGGACTAGATTCCATTCTAGTGATCGCAGGATTGAATCGTGGAGTCGGTCCAATCTTAAGGAGGGCTTTTAAACAATCGCTCTCCGGCCTAAAGGGGATTAGTTTCTTATCTAGCTGTTAGTTTTTTTTTATTCAGCATCTTTTTTTTTTTTTTTGGAAAGGAAGTATCTAATTTATTGTTGCAGTATATTTCAAAGCTAAATATATTTCGTACTTTTTGCATTATTTGAGTGTGAATTAATGGACAAATTGAGGTAAATTAATTCATGATTGAGCTAAAGTATTATATTAAACCAAAAGGTCGATTTTGAATTTTTTTTAATTATAATTTAAGAAACAAATTGGATTTTATTCTAAAAATATCGAATATATACTTATTGAGTTGTAACTTTGAAGTGTCATTAGATTTTGAAAAGTTGTATCTAAATGAAAATTCCAAACACTACCTTTCAACTTCCCATCTAATCAAACAATCTGAAATATCAAATATCAAAAACGGCATGCAGAAGCAACATTACCATATCTACAATTATCTCCTGCCTGAAATTAAATAATCAAATATCAACCCTTGGGTCGTTATTCTGTTGATGTCTAACTAATTTTTGACCTTATCTGCACAGTATTTTACATGTAAATAGACCTACACAAAGACATAGACCCAATCACCAAGTTACTAATTACATCAATAATTGTACACCACACTTTAATTAACTAGATTTTCAATTAGGATATTTGTGATGAACTCATGTGTTAGATAAGACATTTATTTTTTCATTATTTTTAATTATTTGCCTAAATTGATTTTCAACTTGAATTGATATAGATATAATTTGAATTAGAAATTCAAAATATGAAATTATTATTATTGGAACGACTTTATTTAAATACCAGCACTACTGAATATTATTATAAAATATTTTTTATTTAGATAATATATTAAAGTAAAAAGTAATATATTTACCTAAAAAAAATTCATATATATATTATACAACAGTATTCAAACCAAATTAACTGGTTTTTTAAGAACTCTAAAGGATAAATTACACCGAAATATCTTATTGAGAGGAACAAGTGTTTATGAATGATTGGGTGACAGCTCCATCTGTGTTAGATTTTAGACAGTCATCATCGTGCTGATAATAACTTCATTCAGGTATACAGGACATATACAGCAGTCCCCTCTCTTTTACAAAATTTTAGTTAGTATATATTAAAAGAAATATGTAATATTGTCTAAGGGGTTATTTCTATCAAATTAGAAGATGGAATATGTGAATTTTGTTCTAATAAATGAATGATTGGTTCAAATCATGGAAAATTTCCAATATGATTTGATAAACTTAATAAACTTTAGGGTGCGTTTCGTGCATTTACTTACAGAAAACAATTTTCTGGTTTTTATTTTTTAATAAAATAGTTTCCTTAGAAAATGAAAATTAGAAAACATAGAATGGAAAATGACGTTCACTTGATAATAATAAAAGATATATTTTAATTTAATTTTATAAATATTATTCATAATTTTCATAATTATATTTTAAATAAGAATAGTTTGCCTTAGAAATGGAAAATTAGGAAGACATAGAAATGGAAAATGACGTCACTGATAATAATAAAAGAGATATATTTGTAATTTTAATTTTAGTAAATATAAGTTCATAATTTTCTCATAATTAAAGAAATAAGCATAGTTATAAAATAAATTTAAGAAAATTTTGTTTGTGAAAGAAGAATATTACAAAATAAAGGAATATATGTATTGCGTATAAGATAATGAAATTATATTATTTACTTTAAAGCATAAATATAAATTTTATTTTACATAAATAATTTTTTATTTTTTCAAAATGAAAAATATTTTTTATGAAAAATTGTTTCTAGATATTTAATTTTAATTATGAAATGTCAATTTTAAAAAGTGAAAAAACAAGGTGGAAACATTATTTGTTTGTATAAAGGAAGATTTGTTAGAGAAATTAATTATTTATTAAAGCATAATATAAAATTTTATTTTACATAAAATATTTTTATTTTTTCAAATGAAAATATTTTATAGAAAAATTGTTTCTAGATATTATAATTTTAATTATGAAATGTCATTTTTAAAAAGTGAAAAACAGGTGGAAAACATTATTTTTGTTATAAAGGAAAATTTTAGAAAACAACTTAAAGTTGTTTTTCAAATCTTAGTTAAATTTTGGAAAACTGTTTTTTAGTTTTCGAAATATAAAAAATTCACTGATTTGAATACAAAATTTTGTTTTCCAGTTATTTTGAAAAACTTTTCTAAAAAACTATTCTAGTTTCTACAAGTGAACATACCTTAACCCTACTCTAGTTTTCTACAAGTGAAGACACTTTAATCTTTCAAAAATCTCCTTTGAGGATATTTTCCAATTATATTCAGGTGTACTTTCTTTCCTTTTTTTTTATAATCAAAAGATTTAATTCCTTTTTTCAGATATCGAACTTTTATCTTTATCTTTATTGAGATTGAGGTTGCTAACCACTTTAACCAACACTTTATTGGTTATTTTTTAATTAACTTTTTCATAAAATATTTAATGAGAAAAATTCAGTTGGAAAATAAATTCCACATTGAACAAATACAAAATATAATAAAGAATTCAATATCAATAGAAGTAAAATGATTTTGGTGTAAAATATGTTCTGCGCATTTGTGAATTTATGTTTTTTTTATTTGATGAATTCTCTAAAATTAATGAAATAAATATTTTAAGTTTTAAAATTAAAGCATAAAGATTGAAAACAAAAACATAATAATTAAAATTTGGGAGATTTTAAGTCTTGCATGCACTCTTAAATAGATTGGCCTTTTACAACAGGTCTAGTTAATCATCGATTTTTTTTTTTTATTGGCACAAATTTATTTGGAAATCTATGCAAAATTCAGAGTTTAAATTTTAATTTGAAATAGTATCGAGGGCCATGGTCCCTACCTTATAAGTAGTTCCACACTTGGCCTTATAAGGTTTAGGTTTAGTGACATTTCTTTTTCCCATAGTTATCATACTTTTGTCTTACGAACCTTTTGTTCATGTATTTCAATGAAGCCAAATATTTTGGCATCACAAATTGGGAGTTCTTGTTTTACAGGCAATTTGTTTGAATTGATTTATTCAGTTGATAGTTGATTCATATTTAATAGCTATAATTTTAATCAATAACGGATAATTGATAAAATTTCTAAACATGTGATGGTTATTAATTGGAGTTTTTTCATATCAGTTAATAGTCGATTTAGATTTATTTTTTTTTGGAAGTATGAATCTTATAAAAATATAGTTATTAATAAAATTATATTTTTAAAATTAGTATTTTTTTTTTTTTGTTAGGGTTTTGATGTTAGCAAATTTGTAATAACAATTAAAACAGTACTGTGTATACCTATGGATTATAGCTGAGTTGGCAATGTAGTCTGAACATGTGGAAAGAGCTTTCGGGTTCGAACCCCACTAAACACATATACAGAGTGGGGCGAAAAGCCTTAATTATTAATTCATGCAATACTTAATATAAATATATATATACCTTGACTTTCAACGTCAATCCTTGATCACCAACCACCACTATTCCTCCATCAACCTGCCACATCTTCTACCACCACTATTGCCATTACAATACCAAATCTATATATTGCACATTAATCTTCCATACATTAAGATTAAACTTAATGTATCTCCACTGATAATAAAAACAAGATTCTCGAACTGGAATAGAAACAAAGTTGAGGTGCAAATTAATATTCCATGGACCCATGTAATGTTTATATGACTGGCTTAAATTAACTTCAAACCTAATTTGAGGTCCAAAATGAATTTTGCACACTAATTTGGGACCCTTTAAAGTTTCAAGGCTCAAATGCATTTGAAACCTTATGGAAAGGAAACACAAATTTTGACAGCCTATTTAGCTCAGCTTAGCTAAGGCATGCCCTCACTAGCCTCATAGTTCACGTATTGTTCTAGTTGAGAGAAAGAGAGAGTGTTGAAAGGTACCTGAGTGGACCACAAACAGGAGCTTTAAATTTGTATCACGAATTATTGAACATATCATACAAATAAGTCTTTCTCAAATTTCAAGTGGAGCCAGAAAGGGAAATGGGACCATTGGACATTATCATTGTTCCACTTGAAATCCATTTCATTAGACACCCAACCAATAAGAATCAGGAGATTGAGATTATCTTTACACCTTTAGCCAATGAACACTTAGATGGAGCATTTTATGGGTCCCAAAAAGGGCAATCAGACCCTTCTTTAGCAACCCACCAAAAGTGCATATGAGCTTATTATAGCAAAGTAAGGGTCAATGTCCACTTCAACTCTTCAAGGGACATCAACAATAATTCTACCAATTTACCCTAAAAATAAATACCCAACAACTTCCTCCAACGGTCATTGACTCTGAAAGTCTTAACTTCAAAAGACAAAAAAAAAAAAAAAAAAAAAAGACATCAAACAGGTATTAATTCTACCTAATGTTACCCTATATAAATAAAATACCCACAACTTCTCCAACGGTCATTACTCTCGAAGAGTCTTAAACTTCAAAGACAAAAAAAAAAAAAAAAAAAAAAAATGTCTTTCTTTCTTTGTTTCTTTCCTTTCTTTCCCAATGATAAATGAACGAGAAAAGCAGCAAAACGCCGCTCGTCGAGCGGCAAAGATCTGCTCGGAAGCTTTGGCGAGGGCTGTTCACAGGAAGTGAGAGGCAAAAAAAAAAAAAAAAAAAAAAATCTTTCTTTCTTTGTTTCTTTCCTTCTTCAATGATAAATGAAAGAAAAGCAGCAAACGCCCTCTCCGGCAAGACTGCTCGAGCTTGCGAGGGCTGTTCACGGAAGAGAGCGCGGTGGTTCTGTGCAGCTGATGACGCTTTTCTTTGCCAGTCTTGTGATGAATCGGTCCATTCTGCAAACCAATTAGCTCGAAGGCATGAAAGAGTCCGGCTTGAGTCTTCGTCTTTCAAGCCAACGGTTTCTAATGAATATATTCCGGCATGGCATCAAGGCTTCACCAGAAAAGCAAGAACTCCTAGACACAACAACAACAGCAATAAGAAAATCTTTAATAATAATAGTAATCTTCCTCTTGTTCCGGAAATTGGTAATGAAGAAGAAGGAAATGGTATTGCTGCTGATGAAGATGAAGATCAGTTTCTCTATAGAGTACCAGTGTTTGATCCTTTCGAGGCAGAGCTTTGCGCGGATGATCTATATAATGAAGAAGAAGGAAATGAAATTGCCATTGGAAATGATCAAGAAAGAATAAATATGGGTACTGATGATAATTTGGATAATTATTATTTACCTTCTGATATGGATCTTGCTGAGTTTGCTGCAGATGTTGAAAATTTACTTGGAGCAGGACTTGACGATAATTCTCCTGATAGAAACAATGATTTAGGGTTCTTAGAGTATTGTAATAAAAAACAGGAACAAGAAGAAAGTGACTATTATAGTAATAATAAATTTTATTTTGATGAGGAGAAAGTAGTGAAAGTTAAAAATGAACAACAAATGGAAGAAATTGTAGCGGGGGGTTGCAATTTGGGTCAAGCTTTTGATCAAATGGGTAAAGAAGATTGGAGTTTTAGTTATGATCAGTCATCGCTAGTGACCGGAGATGAAGAAGAGGAGGAGAAGGTAGCACTTCCCGCTGTGACTAACACAACAGTAAAAGTGGTGAGTAGCGATCAACATAAGAAAGAAATGAAAAGGGATGTGTCTTTGAGGCTAAATTATGAAGCTGTTATCACTGCTTGGGCTAGCCATGGCTCTCCCTGGACTACCGGAACCCGACCTGAGCTTAATCCTGATGATTGCTGGCCTGACTGCTTGGTACGTCTTTTTCTCTCTAGTCATGCTTCAAATCCTAACAATTCTCTTTCTTATCGCAGTAATAAATTTTGAAACTTAAACATTAACAACTATCTTTTTCTTTTAAGAATTTTTTAGTATAAATCCCCCATAGGAAATCAGGATTCAAACCCTAGCAATTCTCCTTCCTGCATGACTTGCAATGCAGGAAGTCGGGGATTCAAACTCTAACTATTCTATTTCCTTAATCGTAATACAGTTGACAATCCTCTTTCCAGTTAAGAATTCTTATATCCAACAAAGAAAATTCTAAAAGTGATTACTACTTAATTACTTCCTTTTTTCTTTTTTGCAGGGTACATGCCCTAAGGATGGTCATCATCACCCATATAGAGGACACAATGGAGGAGGAAATGGAGGAAGAGAAGCAAGAGTACTAAGGTACAAAGAGAAGCGAAGGACGCGGTTGTTTTCGAAGAAAATAAGGTACGAGGTAAGAAAATTGAATGCAGAAAAAAGGCCTAGATTGCAAGGCAGGTTTGTTAAGAGGACATCATTCATGGGAGCTACTTTTCCTTAATTACATCAACAAAAAAGTTAACTGTTTTAACTACCATATACCAGTGTTTGCTTCTTGTTTCTGCAAACATGGATATATGGATATTTTTTAGGGCTAGTAATTAATATAGTTATTTGGTCAATTAATTAAGCTAAGGGATGTAACTTAGGCAGTTACCTCCTCCTTCTTCCTGCTGTCCATCTCCTGACAGTAATGTAATGAATGCTTATTCTGTGTTCAATAAATATCTCTTTGTCTTAAATTGTAAACAGATGATTGCATATGTCAATGTATTGAGAAATTTGTATTGAGAAATTTTGGACATAACCAAAAGAAATTTTGCTATGTAAAATATATAATTAGGAAAAGTTTAATTTTTTTCTATTCTACTTAAGATTGTAAAGCTAAAAGCATAAAAAAGATTTTAGTTCATTAATTCTTAGCCAAATTCACATAAACTATATTCTAAACTACATTTAATAAACCGTAATGAAATATAGTGTAATATAGTCAAAGCATAATGTTTTTGATTACATTAGAAATGTTTTTGATTACATCACGTATTATTATGATTCACTAAATATATAATTTATAATTCTTAAATCTTTTCTTTCGTCTTCTATACTTTGTGTAAATATTTTGAATTACTTCAAGCAATTGATGAATCATTTGTTCTTGTGGTATCCTTTATTAATTGTATGTAGCCTATATATATATTTAATTTATGCTTATTCTATTGGGAAAATTGATTTCAATTATATATAGAACAGATATTTCTTTGAATTACTTTTCAACTTTATTATAACAAGAAACACATAATTTAGTAATAAATTAACAATTCAGGTCTAGCATAGGATACTAAATGTTGTTTGGAAAGAAAGAATTAACATTAAATTTTAATTTTTAAGTAAAATTTATAATTTTCAATTATTAGAATTCAAAAAAATAGTTAAACACTAATTTCAAATTACTTTTACAACATGATATAAAGGGTCTATTTGGCAACACTAGCTGTTGTAGTAGCTTTTAGCTGTTAGTTGTAGTAGCTTTTAACTGTTAGATGTTAGTTGTTAGCTGTTAGGTGTTTATGTAGTAGTTTAAAGCAAGAGAGTTCAGTAAAAATAGATTTTTGATTAACTTTTAAAATTAAAATGACAAGAAAGAACATTAGAATGTTAACTTAAAATTTTAAATTATGGCCATAGAACTGAAAGAATAATTGTCAAAAAATAAGAGATATATATATAAAAACAAGTTTTGTTTAAATTATTATCATATTTTTTTTATTTTTTATTTCAATTTTTTTCTATAACAAAAGATTATTTCTTATAAAATTAAAATGAAAAGACGAGCAATTTTTTTTAATGTTATTTAATTTTGATAACATGATCTTATCCTTGTTTTAAGACAATAGATATAAAATAATTAAATAATTAAAATGACTTATATTCCTTTGAGACTTGAAAAAGAAAAATTAAATAAATAACGAAGAGTACCAAATTCAAAAGAGTGTTATTGCAAGTAGAATTGTAAGTTTTAAGAATAGAGAAAACAAAACAAATGGATAAGAGTGTAAAAAAATATAAATTTAAAAGGCTAAATATTAAGGATTTAACGTTTGATGAAACATTTTCTAATCTCTAATAGTTATTAGAAATATTAAATTACCCAACAATCTAATTGATAGATATAGTGTTTTGACTCTAGTCAAAATACGGAACGATCCCTAAAAAGTTTTGTTGCCTATCAGGCTCAAATAGAAATTTTTCGAAGCATTTATAATTTTAATATCAGGCACAGTTGAATATTTGTTTTAGAAACAAATGTATGTTTTCCATGTTAGTACATGAAATTCATTTTAAACACATAGTTCATATGAAAATTTTTAACATATGTTTTTTAAAATTTAGGTGGTATTTATTAAAACTGAATATACAATTAAGGGTTGAATTTTAAATAACGAACAATATAAGTACAAAAAAGTTATCCGAATTGTAAAATTATCTAAAATCTCAATTTTACAAACTTTAAGAAATTTCTTGATTTATTAGTTTAAAATAAATATTAAAGAACAAGCAGCAAGAGGGCTTTTTTTTAGGAGAAAAATAAATTTCGTAAATAGAATTACCTCCTCCATCAGAAAGATACTTAATTAACTTAGTTAAATAATTATATGTTGTAATATTGGAAAATAATCCGCAGAAACACAAATGTTTTTTTATTTTTTTTCCGTTTCCCCTTCAATATCCCTAGTACATTCTTTAACTTTTTATACGACACTAATCTCTTTCGAAAATTATTATCGTCTCTTTTTATAAGCCTTTTTCTACATTTTGAATTTTTAACTGTACAGATATCGTAATTTGAACTAAAATGTAATATAATAATATAAACCGTAGATTGAGAAAAATCCCAAATAAGTGTAGGAACTTCCCACAATTTGATTTGCTTCTAAAACAGGAAAAAAAAAAAAAAAAAAAAAAAAAAAAAAAAAAAAATAATATGTTGTGAACATTTGGAAAATAATCCGCAGCAAACAAATGGTTTTTTTATTTTTTTTCCGGGTTTCGCCCGTTAGCAGATATTTCAGTCGACCTAGTACCGATTCTTTAACTTTTATCGACACTAATCTCTTTCGAAAATTATTATCTGTCTCTTTTGTATGAAGCCTTTTTACTACAGTTTTGAATTTTAACTGGTACAGATATTCGTATTTGAAACTAAAATGGATATAATAAATAATAAACCGTGGAGATTGAGAAAAAAATCCCCAAATAAGTGTTTAGGAACGGTTCCCAACACATTTGATCTTGCTTCTAAACAGGAAAAAAAAAAAAAAAAAAAAAAAAAAAAAAAAAAAAAAAAACAGCGAAACCTTTTTGCTTTTCCACAGAAGTTGACTTTTCATATATGAAATGAAGTCCAAACCATAACATATGTGATTAATTTGCACCATATTTTATAATGGTCAGTGGGTCACCGTAATGGACAATAACGGTTCCTTTGTTTTTGGACCACCACTTCGGCAAATGTAGCTTCTGGAAGAACGGTGTTCTTTTTTTTGTTGTCCTAATATTTTTTGTTGTTTTGTATTTTAATATGGCAGGTTTCTGTACAAATAACTCATTTTCAATATTACAATGGAGGAAAAGTTATTTGATGGTAATTAGTAATTACTCTAATTGGAAAATGGGTTGTATTATGCTTTTATAATTCAATATAAAGTCCATGTGATGTGAAAGATTATTTACATACATTGATGGACTAGATTAATACAAGGGGTGGAGTGTTTCATTTTTAAAGTATCTTCAAAGTTCACGTGGATTGTAACTGATTTGTTGTGTAAAATAAAATGCATGCATGGTGGTGTGGTTGAATGTATATTTATAGATATTGAAGTTTTAAAATTTCTTATAAATAAAGAAAATCTCCATTGGAAGCATTTTTCTTTACGAGTTTGACACGACAGGAGCAAAATTAGGAGAGACCTGTAATATAATAGAAAAAAAGGCGTATTATTGTACATGCTTAACAAGTTTTATATAGATACAGAACTCTATTCAAGTGACACCTCTTTGTTATAAAACTGGTTACCCATTAAATATGTCTTTTATAAATTATTTTTTAATGTTTTATTTATCTTTGAAAGCACATATGTAACTCTAAATTTATGCTTCATTTTAAAAAAAGAAAATTATATATACAATATGCCATTGAGATTTGTATAAAATTAAAAATGAGATTATCAAATACTTTTTAATTATATAATCTCATATGAAAATATGTAAAATCAATTTCACTTTAAAGATAATTGATTAAAAAAATTAAATATAAATACCATAGAATATTATGATTTAGAAATTTTAATAAAGTTTATAGATTAAATTATATATATATATATATATACCATAGCAATATGGTATTATTAGAAATTCTTTAATAAGTTATAGATTTAAATTATTATTTATATATAATATATATTACAAAGTTAATTGAAATTTTAAATTTACAAAGTTAATTGAAATTTTAGAGTTATACAATTTTTCATAAATCAAAATCAAATTTAGCATTATAAAAGTTACAAAATAAAAAATAAAAAATGATTATTCGTTAGTTTTTAATTGATTTGTTTTGAAGTATGATGATATCTTAAAGTTTTATTTTTACTTTTTAAGTGAAATTTTTATTAGATGTATAAAATTAATATTTAAATCTAAATATAATACATGGTGAAAGAAAATTATGTACGGCTATTAAAATTTTTAATTTATTTCATTAATTTAATGCTTTGATTTTTTATTAAAAATAATTAATATAGTATATATCTTTTTGAATCTCAAAAATAATCGTAACAAATAAATACAACTGAATTTTTCTTTTTTAAAAAATCAACATAACTTCTTTTAAAGGTAAAAAACTATTTAAATATTTTTAAATTTACTGCTTATATTTAAATAGCGTTAATCTAAAGGTCAATACAAACTTTTACATGAATTAAAAAAATCTTCATCGTAGTTTCACCCCAATATAACAGTTAAAAAAACTATGGTAAACTTTTAAAGTTGAGAATGGATGGATAGACCCATTTTAGACCCAAAAGATTTGGGTTGGATTTAGATATTAGTAACCCAAGTCAAGGGACCCACTAGAAATAAAAAAAAAAAAAAAAAAATAGTAAACCAAGTCCAAGGGACCCCCACTAGCAAATAAAAAAAAAAAAAAAAAAACTTTGAAAACAATTAATATTTGAAAAAAAAAATCATAAATAGCAAATTTTTTAAAAATTAAGACCAAAAAAAAAAAAAAAAAAAAAACTTGAAAACATTAATATTTGAAAAAAAAAATTATAATATCAAAATTTTAAAAATTAAGACCTGACCTATAGTAACTATATAAATGACCTGAATATAGCTTTAGCTTTAATTCCAGTTCCTCTAATATTATAAAATTTAAAAAATTCTATATTTTGGAAAAACTTAAAATAAACAAAAATTACTAATGAAATTTGTTCTAAATTTCTTCTCGCTTTGAACATAAGAAGTTATTAAATTAAAATATCAAATAAAGAAAAAAAAAGGTATGATCAAGAACTACGATTTTACGTATGGACAATTCCTTAATATCTTGTTCATTTGCAATAAAATATTTTCTTTTCTTTGTGCGGCGGTAAAAAAAAAACATGCTTTTGAGAAGAGAGATACCATTTCACTGATCGAGTCACATATATCTAACATATTCATACCTAACGATTTTCCACAAAATGGTAACGAA